GGGATGTGAGAGAGGGCATTGGAATGATCATCTACTGCCATCTAGTGTAATATTTAGGGTCACCCTACAGAATACTGAAGCGCTAATAAACTGGTATTTGCTCCCCATCATTATATATACACTACCGGTCAAAAGTTTTAGAACATCTACTCATTCAAGGGTTTTTCTTTATTTTTACTATTTTCTACATTGGATAATAATAGTGAAGACATCATAATTATGAAATAACACATATGGAATCATGTAAAAACCCAAAAAGTGTTAAACAAATCAAAATATATTTTATTTTTGAGATTCTTCAAATAGCCACCCTTTGCCTTGATGACAACTTTGCACACTCTTGGCATTCTCTCAACCAGCTTCATGAGGTAGTCAACTGGAATGCATTTCAATTTACAGGTGTGCCTTGTTAAAAGTTAATTTGTGGAATTTCATTCCTTCTTAATGCGTTTGAGCCAATCAGTTGTGTTGTGACAAGGTAGGGGTGGTATACAGAAGATAGACCTATTTGGTAAAAGACCAAGTCCATATTATGGCAAGAACAGCTCAAATAAGCAAAGAAAAATGACAGTCCATCATTACTTTAAGACATGAAGGTCAGTCAATCTGGAAAATGTCAAGAACTTTTAAAGTTTCTTCAAGTGCAGTCGCAAAAACCATCAAGCACTATGGGTGAACGGATGATCTCCGCATGTGTATTTCCCACCATAAAGCATGGAGGAGAAGGTGTTATGGTGTGGGGATGCTTTGATTGTGACACTGTCTGTGATTTATTTAGAATTCAAGGCATTCTGCAGCGATACGCCATCCCATCTGGTTTGGGCTTAGTGGGACTATCATTTGTTTTTCAACAGGACAATGACCCAACACACCTCCAGGCTGTGTAAGGGCTATTTTACCAAGAAGGAGAGTGATGGAGTGCTGCATCAGATGACCTGGCCTCCACAATCCCCCGACCTCAACCCAATTGAGATGGTTTGGGACGAGTTGGACCGCAGACTGAAGGAAAAGCAACCAACAAGTGCTCAGCATATGTGGGAAGTTCTTCAAGACTGTTGGAAAAGCATTCCTCGTGAAGCTGGTTGAGAGAATGCCAAGAGTGTGAAAAGCTGTCATCAAGGCAAAGGATGGCTACTTTGAATAATCTCATATATAAAATATATTGTGATTTGATTAACACTTTTTTGGTTACTACATGATTCCATATGTGTTATTTCATAGTATTGATGTCCTCACTATTATTCTACAAGGTAGAAAATAGTAAAAATAAAGAAAAACCCTTGAATGAGTAGGTGTTCTAAAACTTTTGACCGGTAGTGTATCTGTGTATGTAGTGACATACTGTATTACACTTGGAGTTAACACTTAACTACAAACTTTGAAAATAGACCATAATAAAGGAGCGGAGACAAGGCGAGGAAGCCACTTGAGATTGAACCGTAGACACCCAGACTGTAATAACCTTAGCCAGCAAACCTGCATCAATGATCTTACACTCATTGAGTACGTTTACATGCACACCAATAATTAGATATTAAACTGTATATGGCAGTAGGCCGAATATGGAAATAACCTTCATCGGCGTAAGGTCAAAATCGAAGCAAGCATACGTTGATTAAAACACCTGGTTTTCTGAGCAAACTTTTGAATTATTAGGACATGTAAACAGTTTATTAATTGGTGTTCCAGCAGTGTACTTGATCTGCGCATGTGCCAGCACCGGTAGCGCAAGCCTCCCTCTTATGCATGGGTGAAGTAAGTTCAAAAAATCTGAAAGTATGCATCTTACAAATAGTTTTCACATGCAAATGTTGTATGTCCGAACTCTGAATCAAATAGCCTTCGCAAAATTAACATGGTCACTGTGGTAGAGCGTTGATTTTGATTGGTGATTTTCTTTATTTATTTAAGTCCCATCAGGTAGCCTGATTTCAGACGTGTCAATGTAAACAGGATTATTAGGGAAATTGTTCTTTTTGCAAAGCATTTTAAACAAACTATTATATTAATCTGACTATCCACAATACTTGTATTATTGTGTGCATGTAACCGTGCTCATTGAGCTGAAATAATGTTACCTGTGCACTCCTCTAGTGCAAGAATGTTGAATAAAATCCAATTCCAAATGAGTTCTTTCCCACTGGGCACAGACGTCAATTTAATATATATTCCACGTTGATTCCACCAGTGTGTGCCCAGTGGGGAGTTGATTCTCACAAGACTCATTCGAGTTGTTAATTTCCCTAATCACAATGAACTAATGCCTCACTATCATTGGAGACATAGCACAAACGGAACTCATCTATCCAATAGGCGGCTCAGACAGCAACAGCACTCTACGCCTCTGAACTAATCTGCAATGAAGTGATTGATCCAAGGTCAGTTAGCCCCATTGCAGCGGATATAATTAGTGTTTTTAAACGCTCTCAAAGCAGTCAAAACAATTAGGATGTTTTGTGTAGATTAGGAGATGATATTTAGAGCCCCGATTAAACCTGGTGCTAACATGGGTCCTTTGTCCTAATCGTGTCCACATTCTGATTGGGCCCATTTCCAGAAATGTGTCTGCACATGGTATTAAAATGTATCTGTTATCCGTCCACTGTGTCTGCATTGTGACCAGGTTTCCTGGTCTCTCCCTTTATGCAAATTAATTCACAGCTATTCTTTCAAAATAATATTTATTTATTTATTGTAAGACACATATTCTCCTACAGAATGTGTTGTGTGAGTGCATCCCTTTTTCTTGTCTTTCTACATGATTTGGACGTACAATCCTTGTCAAAAGCCATTAGGGTTGCAAAATTCTGGTAACTTTCCCAAAATCCCCAGGTTTTCCTGGGAGTTCTGGAAAACCTGGGAATTTTGGCAAAGGGAGGGGAGTGCGTATATTGGCAAAGTTAACAGATTTTTGCAACTCTAAATGCGGTCTACATAGATAACACTCCTTCTGGAGAGCTGGGTGTCATGCAGGTTCAGTCTGGCACTGACACACACTTCAGCTACTTACAGTTGAAGTCGGAAGTTTACATACACTTAGGTTGGAGTCATTCAAACTCGTTTTTCAACCATTCCACAAATGTCTTGTTAACAAACTATAGTTTTGGCAAGTCAGTTAGGACATCTGCTTTGTGCATGACACAAGTAATTTTTCTAACAATTGTTTACAGACAGATTATTTCACTTATAATTCACTGTATCACAATTACAGTGGGTCAGAAGTTTACATACACTAAGTTGACTGTGCCTTTAAACAGCTTGGAAAATTCCAGAAAATGATGTCATGGCTTTAGAAGCTTCTGATAGGCTAATTGACATCATTTGAGTCAATTGGAGGTGTACCTGTGGATGTATTTCAAGGCCTACCTTCGAACTCGGTGCCTCTTTGCTTGACATCATGGAAAAATCAAAAGAAATCAGCCAAGACCTCAGAAAAGAAATTGTAGACCTCTGGTTCATCCTTGGGAGCAATTTCCAAACGCCTGAAGGTACCACGTTCATCTGTACAGACAATAGTACGCAAGTATAAACACCATGTGACCACGCAGCCGTCATACCGCTCAGGAAGGAGACGCGTACTGTCTCCTAGAGATGAACGTACTTTGGTGCGAAAGGCGCAAATCAATCCCAGAACAACAGCAAAGGACCTTTTGAAGATGCTGGAGGAAACAGGTACAAAAGTATCTATATCCACAGTAAAACGAGTCCTATATCGACATAACCTGAAAGGCCGCTCAGCAAGGAAGAAGCCACTGCTCCAAAACTGCCATAAAAAAGACAGACTACGGTTTGCAACTGCACATGGGGACAAAGGGGGACAAAAATCATACTTTTTTGAGAAATGTCCTCTGGTCTGATGAAACAAAAATTGAACTGTTTGGCCATAATGACCATCGTTATGTTTGGAGGAAAAAGGGGCAGGCTTGCAAGCCGAAGAACACCATCCCAACCGTGAAGCACGGGGGTGGCAGCATCATGCTGAGGGGGTGCTTTGCATCATGAGGAAGGAAAATTATGTGGATATATTGAAGCAACATCTCAAGACATCAGTCAGGAAGTTAAAGCTTGGTCTCAAATGGGTCTTCCAAATGGACAATGACCCCAAGCATACTTCCAAAGTTGTGGCAAAATGGCTTAAGGACAACAAAGTCAAGGTATTGGAGTGGCCATCACAAAGCCCTGACCTCAATCCTATAGAACATTTGTGGGCAGAACTGAAAAAGTGTGTGCGAGCAAGGAGGCCTACAAACCTGACTCAGTTTCACCAGCTCTGTCAGGAGGAATGGGCCAAAATTCACCCAACTTATTGTGGGGAGCTTGTGGAAGGCTACCCGAAACGTTTGACCCAAGTCAAACAATTTAAAGGCAATGCTACCAAATACTAATTGAGTGTATGTAAACTTCTGACCCACTGGGAATGTGATGAAATAAATAAAAGCTGAAATAAATCACTCTCTACTATTATTCTGACATTTCACATTCTTAAAATAAAGTGGTGATCCTAACTGACCTAAAACAGGGAATTTTTACTAGGATTAAATGTCAGGAATTGTGAAAAACTGAGTTTAAATGTATTTGGCTAAGCTGTATGTAAACTTCCGACTTCAACTGTACGTCTGAGCAGAAAACAAACAACATTTGGTGTTATAGAGCAAGGATTGTTGTATCAATGTCGAGCACTGACAAAAGAAAAGTCACCAGACACAAGGCATCTATAAAAAATGTAACCCCTTTATTGTGTTCTCTTATATAAAAGAAATACAAAACAGAAACATTGAAACCAGGTTAGGGGCTAGGCGTGTGGGTGGGTGGTAAGTAAGGGGGGGGGGGGGGGGGGGGGGGGGGGGGGGTATAATAGGCAGAACATTGAATTGTCAGAAGGATAGATGATAGATGGATGGATGGACAGATGGTCAAATCGATGCAATGAGGGCGGATGAAAACAGAACGCACAGTCCTGTCCCGTCCCCTCCCTCCCTTCCTTCTTGTGGCGGGCCTCTTCAGGGCAGCTCAGTCTTATCTGCCACTTCGGCTTGGCCTACCTCGGCCCCCCCAGGGGCCAGCAACGTCCTCCTGTTGTAGTGGTGGTGGCCCTTCATGATGCCCGAGTTGTTGTTCTCATTCAGGATCTGCTTCTGCTTCTGTCGGTTGAGTGACTGGACCAGGCCCAGCACCACGGCCGCCAGCGAGTACTGGCCCTGGAGCTTGCGCGGCTGCATGATGAGCGGGTTGGGCTGCACACGGCCCATCAGGAAGTGTGTGCGGATCTTGCCCTCCTGCTCGCTGATGCCCTTCACGTAGATCTCGCCACGGTATTCGAAGGCGAATCCTCGCTCCTTCAGGATCAGGTAGGTGTCCTCGGGCACCTGGATCTTGCCACTCACGCCCGTGCTGTCCATGCGGCTTGACAGGTTCACTGTCTTGCCCCAGATGTCGTACTGAGGCTTCTTGGCGCCGATCACACCCGCCACCACCGAGCCGTGTGCCATGCCTGAGAAGGAGAAGGAGGGGGAAGAGGAGGAAAATGAAGGAAAAAAGGGAAGATAAAGGGGAGGAACAGAAAGACGAGTGAGAGTTTTAGAAGAGTTAGCTCCACCTAGTGACAAAACTACAGTATGTTAATGAATTTCAAACACTCTTTCATAGCCTATTCATTTTGAGTGGTTGCCAGGGAGCACATGGGATTTCTTACCGATTCTCAGCTCAAAGTTGTTGAAGGAGTGCTTGTTTATCTCCTGGATGCTCTCGTTCAGGGCGATAGCAAAGTCGGCCAGCTCACACAGATGACCCCACTTGTCCTCACATTGCTATGAACACAGAGAGGGACAAGAATCAGAGTGACATCAGAGAGAACCCAAACCAGATTGACAGTGCAAACTGAATCAGATTCACAAAAATGGAACAGATTGAGATTATAGTGCTACCAGGGTCAAATGGAGTCAGGATTATGCCACACATGATGATGTACAGATAAAATACTCCCTCTTTAGAAATAAGGGTCAAGGTCTGCGTTTTATGTCTTGTTACACCTTGTGCACAAATTGTACATGCCTTTCTACTGCACCTATATATACAGCATGTACAAGGTAACAGCACAAATCAATGGTGTCAGTGTTAATACATAGCTTTTATGCAAGTCAGGATATGGCCACGAAATACTGAACCACAACATTTTGATTTTGCTCACTTGTTTTTCTGGTGACAGTCCGGAGACTGCCATGTAGGTGCTGCCGATAGTCTTAATCTTTTCAATGTCCTGGAACCGTTCCTCACCGAGCAGCTACACAAAAACAAAGATGAACAGGGGGAGAGAAGAAACACAAGCAGTCCATTGTTAATGAACTGTGCTCAATATCGCATCACTACTCCAAAGGGTAAACAAGATTTGGTCAATCAATCGCGTGATTGATGTCAACACACAGTATTCAACTCATTATACCAAACAACCCATTAGCAACTTATAAAGCGACGCCATATCACATAAAAGTGTTTCTTCAGCCATCCACTGTGCCGCTCTGCAGCTGCTACCTAAGTATGTGCTGTGTCTTGGGGCAAATTTCAAGTTGGGAAAAGGCAAGTCTATTCCTGTCCAAAGAGGCGAGGCATTAGTCGACTGCAGCTGGTTTGTGTCTTGTTCTGGCCTCATTTGGTGACATTGACACCGTCTGTGAATAACACGGTTCTATGGCAGATTTAGACCAGAATCTCATTGTCAGATACCACCCATTCCACCAGGATACTCTGTAAAACGATATGAATCGTTTAGTGAAAGATCGCAAACTAGTTTTTGTACTCTGTTGAAGCAAAGTGATACCTTTAATTTAAAACATTTGATACCATTGCATCTGACTAGCACAACTGTCAACTGCAAAAGCCCAACAACAAGCCCATTTTTGAGTGGCTGGCCTTCCCTGCTTATTTTGATAGTTTGACTAGTTTGATTGTCATCCCCAATGTGTCATTTTGATGAGTGAATTAAATAAAACATATGTTAGTGGGATAAAAAATAAAACTTTTTTATTTCTTAATTTTTTACTTGCTGGCTCGCCTCACTTTTCAAAAAATGAAATCTGTTAAAAAGTTGATTTCAGAATTCAATTTATGGTATATTGCAACTAGTCAGCCTGCAAAGTAAACACTTCTAAGGTAAGATAAGTATGACTAAACTATCATTTTATATTTGCTGGCTTGCATCACTTTTAAAAAAATGTAATCCGTTAAACACTTAATACAATTTGTATGGCCTCAAGTGTGTTTTTTGGGAAAGCAGTCGGGCTATCAACTTACTGTTGAGAGTTTGAATAGTCGCATTGCATACATCATTTATGGGATATTGCAACTAAATACTGTAGATGCTAGTCAGCCTGCAAAGTAAACACTTATAAGGTAAGATAAGTATGACTAAACTAATGTGTATCTAGCTTCAGCTGTTCAAAAACATTTATATGTTAGTGGGATAAAAAAATAGACTTTTATAAAAATATTTTTATTTGCTTTTCCAAAAATGACAGTTAAAGCTACACTATGTAACTTTCTGGGCGACCTGACCAGATTCACATAGAAATGTGAGTTATAGATCAGTCATTCTCATTGAAAGCAAGTCTAAGAAGCGGTAGATCTGTTCTATGTGCGCTATTTCTATGCTTCCCGTTCTTAAGTTTTGTTTTTGCATCTTTTACTTTCGGTTTTGTACAACTTCAAATAGCTGAAAATATAATATTTTTGGTTATGGAAAATATATTTCACAGCAATTTAGATGGTACAATGATTCTCTACACTATGTTTGCTTGTTTTGTCACATAAACTGAAATTAGGCAAACCATTAGAATTTTTGCAACCAGGAAATGGCGGACTGGAGTGGCGCAGTGGTCTAAGGCACTGCATCGCAGTGCTAGCTGTGCCACTAGAGATCCTGGTTCGAATCCAGGCTCTGTCGTAGCCGGCTGTGACCGGGAGACCCATGGGGTGGCGCACAATTGGCCCAGCGTTGTCCAGGGTAGGGGAGGTAATGGCCGGCAGGGATGTAGCTCAGTTGGTAGAGCATGGCGTTTGCAACGCCAGGGTTGTGGGTTCGATTCCCACGGGGGGTCAGTATGAAAAATTCAAAAATAATGTATGCACTCACTAACTGTAAGTCGCTCTGAATAAGAGTGTCTGCTAAATGACAAAAATGTAAATGATTTCTGCAGAGTGCCTCGATACAGCCCTTAGCTGTGGTATATTGGCCATATACCACAAACCCCCGAGGTGCCTTATTGCTATTATAAACAGGTTACCAACAAATTAGAGCAGTAAACAAGTAATTTTTTGGTCATACCCGTGGTATACAACGGCTTTCAGCCAATCAGCATTCAGGGCTCGAACCACCCGGTTTATAATTAAATATATAGTCTCTTTACTCTGTCTAGCCCATTTACGATCACTGAAACAGAAGTGTGTACTTTAAAATAAAATAAAAGTCATTTTTTGCAGGACAGTGAAAAGGACACTGTTGCAGTTCCCCACCTCGTCAAAGTCGGCGATGATCTCGTTGAGGAGGCGCAGACACTCCACCCCTTGGTTGTTCATCTCCGTTTGGGAGTAGAAGTCGGCAAAGCCCGGGATGGAGGCGAACATCACACCCACAGCATCGTAAGACTGGGAGTAAAGCTCCTGTGGAACAAAATGTAGGAAATGTACGTTTAAAGAAAGAGGGGCAGGGAAAACCCCATTCAAATGACATGTAATGGAATTCTAACAATGTCAGGTAGTTATATACACTTATTTGGAAAAAGTCAAGGATAGAGGGGACATGACTTTCACAACGGTAGAATTTTAATGGCACATAATGCCTCAAAAATGGCTGTGGTGGTTCTAGTGTACCATGTCAGATATAGAGTTGAAATGTACTACATTTTGAGTTTGCATCCCAATATTACATTTTATATACATCACAGAAGACTGAAATATAACAAAACCGTTCGACATTGAAACACTGGATTTTCTGCGTTATATATATTTTTTATTAATTATGAAATTGTGAAAAATATTAATGATATTCCACCCATGAGGCCACTAGAGGGCGATTTGGTCATTTGACTGCAGGAAAGGGGTCTACGTTGATCTAAGTTCATCTTAGTTAGAGTCTTGTAGATGAACAATACTTAGATAATGCATCGTCTTCTAACTGGCATAATTTTGTATTAAGTGCATAAAAGCTGGGAGTGGATGAAAGGAGAGTGGTAAGGTCCTGGTATTCACAGCGTCACACATCTTGTTCTACACTTGCCCCTAGCAGGGACGTTACTACTGCATTAGCAAACTATGTTGCACTTTTAAATCATCACCACTAGGGTGCAATGTTAATACATCACAAACATGCTAGTTGACGTAGGTAAGGCATTCATTCAGATAGAATAATACATAGACTAAAAATAGCTATACATGTTATCAGTCCTTTTAATGATACTACATTAGTAATTAATTCATGCAGTAGTGGGTCAAAGTTCAAGCTTATTAAAACAATGGTACTGTAAATAATTGTGTTAACTTAGTAACAGGTTATGTATATTTTTCATACGTGGGCAATTGCGCAATTATGGTTTAATTAATTAATCTCTGGCTCAATGAGATTCATTAATTATTTAGTGGATGCCCTTTGCTCCTCCTGTGTATGTACAGGTTTTCTGAATCCTATTAAATGTTGCTCTAAATTAAACTTAAATATTTTTATTTTATTTGTCTGATACCCCACAATGTTTTGTACTTCAACTGATTAATTGATACATAGTGTCTCTCTCTCTCTCTCTCTCTCTCTCTCTCTCTCTCTCTCTCTCTCTCTCTCTCTCTCTCTCTCTCTCTCTCTCTCTCTCTCTCTCTCTCTGTGTGTGTGTGAATGCTGATGTGTTAGTTTCATATGGGGCAAAGTTTACCAATATTTTCACAAGCTAGTTAGACTCTGGTGTTAAACAAGTAACGGCCATCGTAAAAACCACCAAATGTAGTAAACCAGGCTCTGATAAATCACAATCAACCATGAAATCAACCCATTGCGTTGCATTCTTGACTCCCTGGTTTGTAGATCTGCACCTAGGGGAAACTTCACGCCTGGGACATAAGGGTGTCTTCTTTGCAGTGACGACGCATCATTCAGGGCAACTACTATCCAGCAAATGGCGCTGTTTTGCATGCAATTCTGACATTCATTCGCAGCACAATATTATATCAGTTAGCAAATAATGTAAACAAAATCATTGCTTTCTGATAATAAAGCAGCATACTCAACTCCTCCATGTCATATTATTGTTTTGGTAAATTTTATTTGAGTAAGGCAGCTTCAGAATGCAGCTGTTTCAGCCTCTCTCAGTGCCTTCTGGGCAGCAAGAGAAAACACAGAGCGTAGGCGTCGTTGATCTTCTCTATTTTCGTGTGATTTGCTCAAGGGTGATGTCACTCACAACACAGCAGCGCCTACTGGGAGAGCCGATTGAGGGCCAAGGCAGCTTCTGCCCCCTTGGGTGCCCCTTGGCAGTGCCCGTCCAAGAAGGCTTAAGGTCATTGGCCACCGATACATCAACGTCTTTTCTCTGGTAACTTTGATTGGACTGATGTGTGTCAACTTACATTAGCTGAAAAGATACAGTATAATGAAACATGAATCATGTCGACTATTTTATCATTTTCTAAATTAGCGTTATGAAGGAAATGTAGAGATACAACGTCTCAGTGCTCATCAGCCACTAAACATCGAAATAAGGCCGTCCGTTAAAATAAAGCAAGCTGGTAAAGAAGATTCAACTGTGGTTGGTGGTGGTTGGAAGCAGTGGCATGTTGTTAATGTTTGATGTCAGTCTGTAATACCCATGGAACTGTACCTATGCAACAGATGAAGCGAGGGGATAACTTTATACACTTTGTTGCTGTATTCTTAACCGGAGCACCTTGGTACCAGAACTGTGTTTTGGCTGCGTCCCAATACTCAATGTAGCAAATTGTAGACCAGGGTTCCCCAACTGGCGACCGAGGGTGGTTTTATTTGCCCCCCCCCCCACAGGTTTTCTGAGCAAAAAAACAACAACATTGTAAAAAAAATGTATAATGTTAATTGTTGGACATAAAATACTGTAAAAACATCAGGAAATCAGCTCCAATTGATTTTAATTTTGGAAATCTGTTCCCAAGTATTCCCACGCATAGTAGAGAGACGTAAGCAAGGTTTGAAATTATTATGTTTTAGCCAAACATTATATCTGTTTGGGATTCTTGCGGTCAATTTGCAGTCTACAAATGATTTGTAATTATGTTCCGGCCCCCCGACCATCCGCTCAAGAAAATATCGGCCCGTGGCTGAATCTAGTTGATAATCCCTGTTGTAAACCCATGCTGAATTTGACTATGGGAAGTAGCCTACATAAACTGATCATATCCAAAGATGATCTATATATTGCCATAACCAGAATGTTATAACCTTTGTGTGTGTAGTGGTTTCCACTGCTTCTTTGACCCCCAAGAAATTGGTTAACATGATATGTTATGTGTCAACCTGGTCTCAGAGTATTTCATATTATTCTGTATGTAAATCCGAGACACCCCATTTAGTATTATATGTTACATTTCGTATGGTATGTATTATTTGTGGATGTTACAAATTACAATTGGTATTATATGTTACGAATTTACGAAACTGATTTGGAAAACGTACAATATGTTACGAATTTGCAAAACGTATGATATGTTAAGAATTCTAGCTAGGTGGCTAACGTTAGCTAGCTTGCTACCTTTAACTAGGCTAGGGGTTAGGGGTTAGGGTTAAGGTTAAGTTTAGGAGTTAGGTTAAAGGGTTAAGGTTAGGGTTAGGGTTAGGGTTAGCTAAAAGGTTAGGGTTAGGGTTAGCTAAAAGGGTTAAGTTTAGGGTTAGGGGAAGGGTTATCTAGCATGCTAAGTAGTTGCAAAGTGGCTAAAAAGTAGTAAGTAGTTGAAAAGTTGCTAATTAGCTAAAATGCCAATCTCCATTCTTTTGTTTTTGCCTTAGTAACCATTTTTCTTATGTAACCATACGAAACGTAACATATCATACTAGATGGAGCATCTCGGATTTACGTACAGAATGATATGAAATGCTCTAAGACCAGGTTGTATGTGTTTATATGTGTTTTTTTGTATGTGTTTATGGTTCAATGAGCAGGTGGAGAGCCCCGTAAATGAAAAAAAAGTATATTCTTCAAAACTTTCCTTTCACATTCGGAAGCCTTCCACACTGAGTCCCTGACTCATATATGGGGATGGGTGGATCAATGGGTTCTCTCCCCCCAACTGACAACATGTTATGACCATCAAATTAAATGCATGAAACATGAATAAAAGCGTGTCTTGTTTTATAAAGCTTTCTGGCTGACTGAATCTACTCTCTCTGCACTTCGTGGAAGCATCCTGACGGCAGACCGTTCAGACCACCGCCACCCTCTTTCGGCGTTTCCATCTGAAGTTTGACGGAAAATCAATTACGGCTCTCAACGGGCATACGTAATTAGCATACATTGAGATTTATGGAACCGATTGTGATGAATGTTTGACGACAGCTCTCGGTAGGGAAATATGTCAATAGTGTCATTTTGATTGAGTAAAGAAGTGAAAACTCCTCTTCATGCTCCAAATCACAAATGTAACGTAACCTGAGTATGGTTCAAGTAGAGGTAAAACAAATGAAATTGGGTTGTGTATGACCCTAACACTGAAATAAAATAATAATAATATAGATGTAATTTTTTTCCAAAGCAACTTACAGCAATGCTCTGCATATATTTTTATATGAGTGGCACCAGCAAGAAACAAACCAACAACCCTAGCGTTGCAAGCACCATGCTCTCCCAACTGAGCTACACAGAACCACACAAGTCATTAGACATTACAAAGACCTTAAATACGGTACACTATTAAGTTGAACATACAGTATACCGAACAGTCTATCAGACGAAAATAAGGTAGAAAGAATTCCAGCTGACCTCATTATCCCGATCCTTCTCCAGGAAGTGACGAGCAACGTGACTTGGAAGAATATTCCGGAGCATGTTCTCGTTGTGTTCCCGGAGCTCCTTCATCTCGTTGATCTCCTCCTTGGCCTGAACACGCCAGAGGAAATCCAGCCGGGCAGTGTATTCCAGCTATGGGGGAAAAATATATAATATCAGGGCCGCAATAGGTACAATGTTAAGGAATGTTCAGATAAAATCACAAATGATTATGCACCTTCATCACACCTTGAATAATATTTAGCAGACGCTTTTATCCAACGCGACTTACAGTAACACGTGCATACATTTTTGTGTGGGTGGCCCCAGTGGGAACCGAGCTCACGTTTCATAACAGTCCATTGTTGCTATACCAATCAAATCAAATCAAATTGTATTTGTCACATACACATTTGGCAGATGTAGCGAAATGCTTGAGCCACACAGGACCACCACCGAACTGAATTACATTGAACAGAAACAGAATGTCTCCTCATTCTGTCACCATTTAGAAGGAAAAACATGGTTATCTGTGGGGTTAGATTAAGGTCAGGGAGGTTAGAATGTCATGTGATTGTAGGCCATACAGTAGAACTGTGTTATGCCTCAAGAATACACTCTGTTTTCTCGCGCAATTGCATCGCCTATAGAAATGTTGCGCAAGATGAGCTCATGGGCTCTCATGAAGTGTTTGATTAGATTTTCGATCACATTTGCATTGATGTCAGAGTGATTAGAGGGACAATAGAGTGCTGAGTACCAGGCAGGTAGCAAGTTTGGTAGGCTACTAATGACCATCAGCAGCATCAGAGCTTGGAGAAGCCTAATTACCGTGACGAAACGGTCAAGTGGAAGTTGACTGCCTTCATGACTCGTGACCGCCAGTGTGGGGGTAATACGGTCACCGCCACAGCCCTATCTGTTACCAACCTTTAGTAAACGTTGGGATTTTTTTTTAACAGATACAATGCTATTTTACAGTAAACAAATTGACAACAGACTTTCAGCACGCTTATAGGGATGGACATTCAACAAGCACAGATTGGATGAGAAAATGTGATGATAAAAAGATTGTGGGGGCTGTTTCGTTAAACTTCAGTACGGCTTTTGACATTATCGATCATAGCCTGCTGATGGAAAAACGTATGTGTTATGGCTTTACACTTCCTGCTATATTGTGGATAAAGAGTTACCTGTCTAACAGAACACAGAGGGTGTTCTTTAATGGAAGCCCAGGGCAGCTGTCTAGACCCCTTACCTTTTTCAATATTTAGTAACGACATGCCACTGGCTTTGAGTAAAGCCAGTGTGTCTACTGTATGTATGCGGATGACTCAACACTATACACGTCAGCTACTACAGCGACTGAAATGACTGCAACACTTAACAAAGAGCTGCAGTTAGTTTCAGAATGGGTGGCAAGGAATAAATTAGTCCTAAATATTTCTAAAACTAAAAGCATTGTATTTGAGACAAATCATTCACTAAACCTAAACTAAATCTTGTAATGAATAATGTATAAATTAAGCAAGTTGAGGTGACTAAACTGCTTGGAGTAACCCTGGATTGTAAACTGTCATGGTCAAAACATATTGATACAACAGTAGCTAGGATGGGGAGAAGTCTGTCCATAATAAAGCGCTATTCTGCATTCATAATAGCACTATCAACAAGGTAGGTCCTACAGGCCCTAGTTTTGTCGCACCTGGACTACTGTTCAGTCGTGTGGTCAGCTGCCACAAAGAGGGATTTAAGAATATTGTGATTGGCTCAGAACAGGGCAGCACGGCTGGCCCTTGGATGTACACAGAGAGCTAACATTAATGTCAATGTTAATCTCTCCTGGCTCAAAGTGGAGGAGAGATTGACTTCATCACTACTTGTATTTGTGAGAGGTATTGACATGTTGAATGCACCGAGCTGTCTGTTTGAACTACTGGCACATAGCTCGGACACCCATGCATACCCCACAAGACATGCCACCAGAGGTCTCTTCATAGTCCCCAAGTCCAGATCAGACTATGGGAGGCGCACAGTACTACAAAGAGCCATCACTACATGGAACTCTATTCCACATCAAGTAACTCATGCAAGCAGTAAAATCTGATTTAAGAAACAGATACAAATGCACTTCATGGAACAGCGGGGACTGTGAAGCAACACAAACACAGGCACAGACACATGCATACACACACATGATAACATACGCACTATACACACACGTACACATGGCTTTTGTGTTGTAGATATGTGGTAGTAGAATAGGGGCCTGAGGGCACACGCTTAATGTGTTGTGAAATCTGTTGTGAATGTACTGTAATGTTTTTAAAATTGTTTAACAGCCTTAATTTTGCTGGACCCCAGGAAGAGTAGCTGCTGCCTTGGAAGCAGCTAATGGGTATCCATAATAAATACAAATACAAATACCTTTTAGTTAGAATTTTGTCGACAGACTCAATAGGATATATAGAGGATTTAGAGAGCCTTTACCTATGAAAGAAAGAAAACGATAGTTTGATTAATTCAAAAAATTGCAGTTCAGTTACCCATAGTAATGTTGGAAGATTATTGTACATATAATTATAATAGGGAGAACAGTGTACAATAGTAGGCTATACCCTCGTCTATTGCCTGCACTAACCATGGAACTGTGTGATGACGCAGCCAAGTATTGCGCCATGCGTCTGGTTCAAACTGTTACGGCTTGGTCTGCTCTCCGCTCCATAACGATTTAATTAGCATACATGTCTTTTTTTTATATGATCAACTGTTACTAATGATCCTCAGCAACAACCACATGGCCGTGACGGCTTTTACAGAGGAAGCAAATGAAGGTAAACGAAACATGTTTTTAAATGGTTTGATAATGTAGGCTATACCAACTGAAGGGAACAGTACATTGGCAGTTTAATATGTGTTATTATTAGGCCTACTGATGGTTGATACTAATAGTGGCTAATATTTAACATGATAGAAATAGGAACAGAGAAAGTCGGAGTAGCCTATAAGTAAGACATTCGAGAGTGCCCATCCCTGAAAGTTAAAAGGCTGCACAATTAAACTTCTGCATAATGGCACAGTATTTCATCAACTTTACTGTGGAAAAAATAATATGTTGATATGCTTCAGTTTGCTGTCACACCCTGATCTTTTTCACCTGTCTTGTGCTTGTCTCCACCCCCCACCAGGTTTCTCCTATTTTTCCCCATTATCCCCTTTGTATTTATACCTGCATTTTCTGTTTGTCTGTTGCCAGTTCATCTTGTTTTGTCAGGTCTTACCAGTGTGTTTCCCGTTTCTCCTGTTCTCAAGTTTTTGTTTTCTAGTCTTCCTGGTTCTGACCTTTCTGCCTGTCCTGACCCTGAGCCTGCCTGCCGTTCTGTCCCTAATTGACTCTGCCTTGGATTACGAACCTCTGTCTGCCCTCGACCTGCCTTTTGCCTGCCCCTTTGTTACAATAAATATTAGGAGAATCTAACTGTCCGCCTCCTGTGTCTGCATCTGGATCATATCCTGAGTCGTGATAGTACAAACTGGCCATGACTGACCCATGACTCGGACCAGCTCCACAACGCTGTCTCCCTCCAAGGAGCCACCATTGGAAGACACGAGGAGTTACCTCATAACCTTGTGGAGGGACTCCATACGTTGGCGGAACGCCATGACCATGCCTTCAATGCATTGTTGGATCAATTCCGCCGACTACCTACTAGGCAGCAAGCCACAACGGTAACCTTCCAGACTCCCAGTAACCCCGCTATCAGCGGTGCTTCTCCCCAGCCTACCCCGGCTTCCCGAGAACCCTGCTTACCAAGTTGCATGCATCATTGCTCAAATTCTAAAAATAACAATGGCAACAGTAGCAGGAGCTTGGTCCATTCAATTTGATCTACCAGCAGAACAGAACTCTGAACATTCTAAACAGCATCATAAACAAAAGCTGTTAGGGGAAAATAATAAAGAATATATATTTTTTAAAATATATATATGGGGGATTGGAAATGTGCAGAGAATTACATTGATAGAAGCCACAATCTATCCGCAATATTAAAGCTGATCTACCCCTAAATGTTTTTAATAAACACAATCAAATCAAATAAAAAGCTGCTGAGGGAAAATCCAGAGGCATCCTTTGCTGATTATACCCTAATTGGAGAAAATAATACAATATCTGACCTGCTCTTCTACACAGAGCATACTGCTGCTTGGTATTCTGCCTCATGTATGCACTTTGGCCATGTTAGAAAGAGAGGAATGGTCGACAGATCTTGGTATTATGAACAGGAGCCTGATAATCGACTCTGCACCATTAACACCTACAACAATGGCACCGTAATGATTCAAGGCCTAGAAGCTGCACTTATCCTCTATATACATGTTTACATCACTGAAAGAGCTAGCAGACACCTTGAAAGAGAATGGCACTCTGCTACACTTCAATCAGAAGACAGACCTGATGAGAAATCAGTTAATTCCAAAAGTCTAATATCTAACCAAGCCAACCTAGCAGACATGGAGTGTTACAACCTATCCCAGCTGTCCAGGCCTTTGGGAGTTTTTCCCTACTGGAGGTAGAGGTGAATGAGCTCGGTGGTGAGGTGACAGTTCTGAGGCAGGATAAGGAAGAGCTGAGAGAGAAACTGGCAATGGTCGAGAGCATCATGAGGAGAGAGGTAGCTGACATCAGGGAGGAGCTACAAAGGAAGTTGTCAGCAGTCATAGAATTGCTACAATACAGAGACACCACCATCCACACTCTAAGAAAACAACTGGAACCTACCACAACCCTCACTACCACACCCTCACATCCCCTCATCGGCAGTACAACTTATTCTCAGAGTGAACCTCGGGAACTCACACAGACTCAGCACAAGATGTCAGTAACCAGACCCAGAACAACTCCTTCTCCCACACCAGCACCTCCCCAAGTTCCTCACATCACAGCCCCAGAGCACCAGCGCCAGCAGGGCCCTGCCAGGAATACAACGAAAGGCCACCTGTGGTCCCCACCCCACTCCATCCAAAGAACATAATTCCAGACACTACATCCCACAACAGCAGCACACAGGCAGAGCACCCTATGGCCTTCATTTTACATTACTCCAATGGGACATTTCTGAGAGAAACTGCTATTCCCTGGCATGTCAGTCAGAAAGCTATGGTGCTGAAACAGCAAGTACCTTGAATGTCTGTCAAGCAACAAATCAAATGGGGCCAAACATATTATTATTATTCACACAGGTGCTAATGACTTGATGGTAATGAGAGGACATGTAGCTCCTGCAATGCAGTAAGTGGCAGCCCGAGCTGCAAAGATTTCCTAACACCAAAACCACTATGTCCACCCTGTTGCCACGTGGAGATGTACCCATCCACATTATACAGAGCAACAACACTGAGCTGTCTAGAGGCTTTGCCACAGTGCGGTATCCCTCAGGGACGTTGCCTTGGGCCGTTACTCTTCTCTATTTTTACAAATATTTTGCCACTTGTCTTACAATAACCTAAAATGACTATGTATGCTGATGATTACACACTCTACACACCAGCACCTACAGCCAGTGAGCTCACTGAGACTCTTAGCAAGGAGTTACAGTCAGTGTCAGAATGGGTAATTAACAATAAACTGGTTTTAAATACATCTAAAACCAAAAGCATTGTATTCGGTTCAAAGCATTCTCTTAGACCTAAACCTCAACTGGAGTTGTGCATAAAGGGTGTGACCATTGAACAAGTTGAAGAAGCTGAACTCCTAGGAGTAACATTGGATGGTCAGTTATCATGGTCAAGTCATTTTGTGAAAGTTGTTGTGAAGTTGGGGAAAGGTATATCTGTTATAAAAATATGTTCTACGTTTTTGACACAAAGATCAACTGTATTAGTTGTTCAGGCTTTGATCTTGTCCCATCTTGATTACTGTCATGCTGTAATATGGTCATGTGCAGCAAAGAAAGACCTAGCAAAGCTGCAGCTTGATCAAAACCATGCAGTACACCTTTCCCTTAACTGCACACACAGAACTAACATCAACAACATGCATGATAGTCTTTCATGGTTGAGGGTTGAGGGATTTCTAAAAGCAGATTTTATGCATCACTCAGTTAAGTACTATATAGAGCCATGTCATTGTGGAATGCTCTGCCACCAGCGGTTACTCAGGCAAAAATAACGTTTAGCATTAAAAAGCAGATAAAATTCTAATTTAACAGTTGAGCTGACAGCCGTATTGCACTGTTTCGCTATGGCTTACTCATCAATCTATCAAGAGGGCTATATTCTATTACTGTAGTAGTGCTACTTCCTCTGACGTAAAACAAATGTTTGACTTCCACACAAAATTACTTATTTATTTATTATTGGTTTAAGGAAGTTTGTAGGTCCCATACTTTATCGTAGAGCTATTAAAGTTAGGTATTTAGATCTGCCTTCTCGAGACAAATTCAGCAATTGCTTTGCCATGTCTGTATCGTGAAGCAGTTGAGCTGGATAAATGTTTTTCTAAGGGCCGCCCCTTTGAAGTAACGTTGCAGTGAAGTTATATAAATCGATGTAAGGATGCAGCCGACCACCAGAGGGAGGCAAATACAAGTTTATTCTACAGAAGACCTTTACATGGTCCTAGGAAGGTCTGAATGACTGTCTTCTGACATAAAACAGTGGGAAATCAGTTAAATAAGTAATGTAAACATATACAGTCCCATTCAAAAGTGTGGACACACCTACTCATTCAAGGGTTTTTCTTTATTTTTTACTATTTTCTACATTGTAGAAAACACATATGTAATCATGTAGTAACCAAAAAAGTGTTAAACAAATCAAAATACATTTTATATTTGAGATTCTTCAAATAGCCACCCTTTGCCTTGATGACAGCTCTGCACACTCTTGGCATTCTCTCAACCAGCTTCACCTGGAATGCTTTTCCAACAGTCTTGAATGAGTTCCCACATATGCTGAGCACTTGTTGGCTGCTTTTCCTTCACTCTGCCATCCGACTCATCCCAAACCATCTCAATTGGGTTGAGGTCGGGGGATTGTGGAAGCCAGGTCATCTGATGCAGCCCTCCATCACTCTCCTTCTTGGTAAAATAGTCCTTACACAGCCTGGAGGTGTGTTGGGTCATTGTCCTGTTGAAAAACAAATTATAGCCCCACTAAGCCCAAACCAAATGGGATGGCGTATTGCTGCAGAATGCTGTGGTAGCCATGCTGTTTAAGTGTGCTTTGATTCTAAATAAATCACAGACAGCGTCACCAGCAAAGCACCCCCATACCATAACACCTTCTCCTCCATGCTTTACGGTGTGAAATACACATGCGGAGATCATCTGTTCACACACACGCGTCTCACAAAGACACGGCAGTTGGAACCAAAAATCTCCAATTTGGACTCCAGACCAAAGGACACATTTCCACCGGTCCATTGCTTGTGTTTCTTGGCCCAAGCAAGTCTCTTCTTATTATTGGTGTCCTTTAGTAGTGATTTCTTTGCAGCTATTCGACCATGAAGGCCTGATTCACACAGTCTCCTCTGAACAGTTGATGTTGAGATGTGTCTGTTACTTGAACTCTGTGAAGCATTTATTTGGGCTGCAATTTCTAAGGCTGGTAACTCTAATGAACTTATCCTCTGCAGCAGAGGTAACTCTGGGTCTTCCATTCCTGTGGCGGTCCTCATGAGAGCCAGTTTCATCATAGCGCTTGATGGTTTTTGTGACAGCACTTGAAGAAACGTTCAAAGTTCTTGAATTTTTCCGATTTGACTGACCATGTCTTAAAGTAATGATGGACTGTCGTTTCTCTTTGCTTATTTGAGCTGTTCTTGCCATAATATGGACTTAGTCTTTTACCAAATAGGGCTATCTTCTGTATACCCCCCTTTCTTGTCACAACACAACTGATTGGCTCAAATGCATTAAGAAGGAAAGAAATTTGACAAATTAACTTTTAAGAAGGTACACCTGTTAATTGAAATGCATTCCAGGTGACTACCTCATGAAGCTGGTTGAGAGAATGCAAAGAGTGTGCAAAGCTGTCATCAAGGCAAAGGGTGGCTAATTTGAAGAATCTCAAATCTCAAATATATTTGGATTTGTTTAACACTTTTTTGGTTACTACTACTTCCATATTTGTTATTTCATAGTTTTGATGTCTTCACTATTATTCTACAATGTAGAAAATAGTAAAAATAAAGAAAAACCCTTGAATGAGTAGGTGTGTCCAAACCTTTGACTGGTACTATATATATAAATAGTGTGTAAATAATATTTTTGTTGTCTCTTGGTGTCTTTCCTATACACTGAGTATCCCAAACATTAGAATCACCTTTCTAATAATGAATCGCACCCCTCACTTTTCCCCTCAGAACAGCCTGAATTCATCGAGGCATGGACTGTATATACTGTAATTCTTATTTGTATTTTTTATTTAATGTGATATCTTATGTTGTTCTTGTCTATAACTGTTCTGTACTTTGTCACCTATTTGTACGTTTTATGTGGACCCCAGGAAGAGTAGCTGCTGCATGTGCAGCAGCTAATGCGGATTCTAATAAACTAAACTATTCCAAACCTTAACCCTAAACGTAATGTTTTAACCCTATCCCAAACCTTAACACTAACCATAACCATTCAGAATGAGTGCCTAAACTTACCCCTTAACTTGCAGTGAGACCGTGAGAGCTTGTTGATTCACCCACTGATATTGAAAATTATTTCCGATGCATTCAGAAAGGCTTGTAAGACCATAAAAAGCTTTAACCAGCAGATTGAAAAACAGGTTCACGATTAATCTTGGCGAATATGGGACTTCAATAGAATATTCAACTTCCCAATTAAGAATTCAAAATCCTCAGGGTAAATTGGCATTACGCTAATGAGCTGTTGGCCACTGAAATATCGCGCCCGAGAGTTATTAGAAAAATCCCATTAAAAAACATGACCTCAGTTATTCATAACAGTGAACTACTAGTGAGGATTTCTCTCAGGGCCACTAATTTATATATATATTTTCCCCCAGAGCAGACATAACAACGATCGCAGACACAATGTTTACATTTTAAATAGTTTGCAACACTAATGCAGTCCGAAAAAATCAACCAAGCCCCAACACAGTCATGAATTCTATGTGAACATAAAAACATACAGGGCCCAATTCAATTCATTACAGGCCAACCATAGTGCGTATGTATGCTGGTA